CACCACATCTGGCTTAGGCAAACATTTTAAACAGTTTTTCCATTTGTCTTGGTTCGTATGCAGTTTGGCATGCAAACTTCAAAGAGTTGTGAAGAGACCGACATGGGTTGTGAACTGTGCCCTGCGGAAGTGCCTTTAGATGGTATCTCTTTCAAGCATCATTCTTTTCTTGAGAGGATGCCAAGAAGATCTTTGGGGCTGGTTGGGCAGAAGAGCTCACTCTAAGGCATTGTGACAGGTCGCTTTCCTTAGCACAGGATATCTTTTCTCTATGGTTTCTTTAAATCCTGTCTAAGGAACAAGGGACAGAGATTTAGCATACATATATATATATGTGTTATATATATATATATATAATTATTTTTTTTTTTTTACGTTGGCCCTTTCCTTACCATGAACAGCAATCAAATGTTACCACTTTGTCCAGGTCACAGATGAAATCATGGCACAATAATTCAGTAGAAAACACTTCCATGGAGTATCTCTTAGCAGAAATATTTAGTAACTTTGTCTTGTATTATTCTCTCTTTTTTTTTTTGAGGGGTCCACTTATAAACTGCCCAAGCACATTGGCTTTTGGTGTCTGGCCTCCCTGAACTGTCTTCCAGGACAGTGTGTCTCTAGCTCTCTCTGGGGAGGCTCCTGTGCGTGGGTAATGAGAAGTCACTTGGCATAGTCGCATTTGTGATAATGACTCTGCTTTGGGGATAGCTGAGACTATTAAAGAGCTCTAGCTTTGAAAGATCCAGAAGCTGGGGTTGATGGCACACATCTGTAATCCCAGCTCTTGGAAGACCGAGTCAGGAGAATCAGGAGTTCCTCACCAGCCTGGGCTACATAGTGAGACCCTCTCTCAAAAAAAGAGGGGATTGGGGGGAAGACCCACAGATTTCACCTAGAAAACTATATTGAATAAATCGAATTTTTTCCAAATTAAAAATGACAGAATTAAAGCTCCAGGCCCCATTAGCCACCTCTGACACATAATGAATGATTACCACTTTCTGTTCTCAGGAGGGACCTGGTGGTGGTAGCCCAGAATTTTTTCTGTGCTGGCTGTGGAACTCCAATTGAACTTAGTAAGTATGGATCACGGATTGTTTGCTTGTTACTTGATAACAGAGCAAAGAATAACTGTTGGGAGGTGCACTGTTTTTTATGAAAAGAGCATCATGGATATTGTCTTTCTTTTCACGAAGAAGCCACAGTGACCTACAAGGCTGTGGGACCATTCAGGAGCTGGGAGGACCAGTATCTTAGTGGACTCCCCATTGGGCACTTGGAGGTGCCAGCTCACTCCTGACTCAGGAATTTGTACCTGTGGCTTTCTCCCAAGGACCCCCTCTCTGCAGACACCCCCATGACTGAGTCCTTGGTTTCCTTCACACATTTACTCTAAAGTCTTGAGATTGTCCCTGGCTGCGCTGTAAATGCTCACCTGACCTCAAACGTATGTCACATCATCATTCTTTTTTATTGTTTTGAGACAGGGTCTCTCTATGTAGCCAGACTGGCCTGGAACTGGCAGTCTTCCTGCCTTTTCTCAAGTGCTAGGATTATGGGCATGTACCACAGCCTTCTATTTTTTTACTCCTAAATGTTCTTCATTGAATACTTTTCTATTTAATTGATTTATCCTACTGTGTCTTCTTCACTGGATCATAAGTTCCACAAGGGTAGACACATTGCCTGCTTTCATTGTTTAATCTCCAGCTCCTAGAGGAGATATTTATTGAGTGAATGAATGGCTTGCCATGGAGCTAGCCAACCTTCCCTGAGTGTTTGAAGAGAGGGCCTAAGAGTTTGAGGGCCGATTGAGGTCTAGAAAATCAGACATCTCGAGACACACAAGCTTCCCTCTTGAGAGTGAGAATTCTTTGCTCTCCTGTTCTCTCGTTCTATATCAGGAGATAAAAATTGAAAGCAGAAATCTTCTGGGCTTCCTCTAACTGGTAATGCCTGACAGGCATCCCAGTTATGACTAGTTTTCTTTAAATGACTCATTTTCCCAGTTGGTCTAGCAAGGACCAGGTCTGTTGGTTAACCACTGTATCCTGGTGCAGTGAACGTCAAATGTGTGAGTCAGAAACTATAGACATTTACTATGATTCCACTAATTTTTTAAGTGCTTCCCTAAGTTTGTCCAAACACTGAGGGTGAGTCTGCACTGTTCGTGCAGTGGTGGATCTTACAAACTTGGCCCTGCCTCTCATGGAGTACACTTACCGTCTTGGAGGGAAGACACAAATGAGTGAGAACAAGGACGATGTTTGTGATGAAAGAGAAAGGCAAGAGTGCTGTGGGGGCATGAAGAAGTAATTATCTCCAGGAAGTAGGGTGTTTGTCCTATGCAAATGGCCCGTGGCAATTGAAAACAAGAATGAAAGAAGGAAACACACTCCAGAGTAGGCAGGGCAGGTTGTGGATGACTTGTCAACTATGAAATAATTTTGGACTTTCTCTGAAAGCTTCCTTTAGCTCTTAGGATATATATCTCCTTTCTCTATATGTATATATGTGTATATGTGTGTGTGTATATGTATATATATGTATGTATATATGTATGTATGTATGTGTGTATATATATATACATATACATATATATATTTGATGGTATTTGGGTTTGAACTCAAGGCATTGTACCTGCTAGGTAGATGCTCTACCATTTGAGCCTCACGCCCAGCCATTTTTGCCTTAACTGTTTTTCAGATAAGATCTTGACTTTTACCCAGGCTGGCCTTGGACTGGGATTACAGGCATGAGCTACCACACCAGGAGGATAATTTTTTTAACTTCATAACTTCATATTTGAGATCATCTTAGATTTACTGAAGAGTTGCAAAAAGAGATTTGTTAATAGTACAGATTTAATAATTGAGATTTCCCAGAACTCCTTCACCCAGCTTCCCTCAATGTCAATATCTTACATAATCATAGTATAATCATTACATCTGAGAAATTATACATCTGACACAATCCCATTAAGTAAACTACAGACTGTCACATTTCACCAGGTTATCACTCTTGACCTTTATTTGTTCTAGAATTCAATCCAGAATTCTAGAATTTAGTTGTCATGCTTCCTCAATCTCCTCCAATCTCATATGCTAAACATGTTTTACCCTCTGCTACTTCTGTATAAATAAGCATTATAAACAGTTGCCATACCAAAAACTTGACAGCAATCCCCTAATCCTGTCTCCTAGAAGATCATTTTCAAGATCATTTATGGCTAATTTTTCCCCCCAGTGTCAACTGAATTTCTAACAATGCATTCAGTTTATTATTACTCTAGTAAGCTTTATTCTAGAACTGCTGTATCCAATATGGTAACCACTTCCGTTGTGGCTACATACCATTAAAATTAGTTGAAATTTAAAACTCAGTTCTTTAGTAATCCTAGCTGCTATTTTAAGTGCTCAATAACTATGTGTCACTCATGGCTACTGTGTTGGACAGCACTGGTATGGAATATTGTGTCCCTGTAGTAAGCTCTGTTAGATAGTCCAGTTCCACTAGTAGACAGTAAAGTTCTAGAATACTCCCTCCCTATTTCTTCCCATGTCATTGACCTCACAAAGTAAGAACACTTGCCATTTAGAGCAGGCTTTCTCAACTTCAGTACTGTTGACTTTGTGCTGGGGGATGTCCTGTACATTTTAGGATGCTTAGCAGCATCACTGGATGCTGGTAGCAGCCCCTTCGCAGTGACAGCTGACAACGCTCCTCAGTATTTTCAAATGTCCCCTGAGGGGAAAATTGCCTCTGGTTGAGAGCCACTGGTTTAGGACACTTTGCTTTGTTCTGTTTTAATTAAAGGCCTTAGTAAACCAAAAGAAATGGAAATAATTTATTCTTGTATTGACAGGTTAATGTTTGGTGTGCATTTAGTGAAGTTGAGGAATGAACAAAAGATGTTAGGAAAGATGAAGTATATTTCAGAAGCATTTATTGGCCCCTTCTGTTCTTTCTTTTCCCATCTTACCAAGTTTGATCAGGAATGTAGAGTTCAAGGGCCAGAGAATATCCTTTAGTGGTTTACTTAGTGCCATATTTTAATGCATTTCTGTGCTTTTTGTCACTGACTTTAGTTTAAAATGGTCTCAGGCATGGTGTTGAGGTATTCACTAATGTCCTTAAACACAAGAAGGCCATGACTCTTCTTATGGGGAAAATATGAGCTCTTGACCCTGAATTCAGTGTTATCAATCAAAAAAATATATCATCAATTAGAGTCCCTTTTAAACAGAAATACACAAAAAACTAGACTATGCTGGCTGGTTCAACATTCATGGCAGCCTTATAGAACAAACTACCACCAACTGTGGGAATCATCTGTATTTATTTGCTTTAAAAATCATCTCTGAGTGACTGGCTGAGGGATTATGTGGAGATTGCTGAGGCAATAGCCCCCCCATATCCCCGCCCCTTCACTGAGTGCAGCAGAAGAGGAGCCGAATGTGGTGGCCACACTGGAGCTTCTGGGCAGTCCAGGCTTGGCTTAGAGTCCCATGTGCCTGTTTTACACTGCTTGTGTGTCACCACCATGTTATCCGGCCTCACTTTCTTGTGTTTCCATCAATGAACTAGGGAAGCACAGAATGACATAGAATATATCAAGCAGCCACTGTGTGGCACAGAGTCCAATAGAGATTTGTTCCTGCAGTCACTCAGGCCTCTCCCTCTCTTCTTCTGTCTCTCCCTCCCTCTCTCTCCCCTTCCTTCCTTCCTTCCTTCCTTCCTTCCTTCCTTCCTTCCTTCCTTCCTTCCTTCCTTCCTTCCTTCCTTCCTTCCTTCCCTCCTTCCCTCCCTTCCTCCTTTCTTCCCTTCTTTCCATTTGTGGTGTCGAGGATTGAACCCATAGCCCTTACACATGCTGTATCCATATGCTGAACCCGTATCCCTACACAAGTGCTGTAACCCTGGAGCTGCACCCTCAGTGGTACATCCTCACGGCATTCTTTGAAATTGTATTCAGAAACTAGTGTGCTCAGTACTGTAATAGCAGCTTTCCTATCCATTATTTCACTGATTCTCACAATGAATGATGACTGTAGCATCTAGCATTGCACTTTATCATATCTTAATTACAAAGAGACACATGAGTTTTGATAACATCAACTTGCTTTCATATAGAAACCTACGTTGAGGAGAGGCAGTACGGATTGTTTTCCTTTTATCTAGGTGCGGTACACAGGATATTTTGTCCATATTCATACCTTTTATTTTAGCAGAGAGATTTCCAAAAGCAATGCATAGGCATATTCATTTTAATAAATTAAAATAAATGCAATGGACAAAATCATTTCCTGCCCACCCTCCAGAAATATCCACTGTTGGCTTTTTGGTGGGGCTCTAGGCTGTGTGTGTATGTACATATGTGCACACTTGCAGGCATGCATGTGCATGTGTGTCTACCTGTAATTGGATGTGCACTTCCCATGCTCGTCCACTTCCTTTATAGGCTGCACAGCATTTTGTCCTGACAGGGATGTATTTTCCTTTTGATGAACATTCTGGTTGCCACTCTTCCTTACCCTCAATTGTAAATATGCCGCAGTGAGGACCTCTGTGCCCGTGAGCATTTCTAATGATGGAGTCACAGAAATAAGATTACTGCTGCACCTGTAAGATGGAAGTATCTCAGAAGTGTCCTCTCAAAAGGTGTTCATTCCATCAACACTAGAAATGAGAACCCACCTCTCCACAGCTGACCTGCTCTGGAGCTTCTAAATTTGTGACAGTCTATGACAGAACAGAGTATCTCAGTGATGAAACATGCATGTTCTTGACTGTTGTGGAGCCTGAGTGCTTTCACACCTGCCTTGGTTGTCTGCATTTCTTCTTTCCATTTATTGCCTGTTCCCATCCTTTGCTCATTTTTGTACATTTTTCCTCTTTCACTCTCTGATAATCATGGCACTCTTCTGGATACTACTTCCTAACATTGTATATGTGCTGCTTTAGAATTCACAAAGCACTCGTCCTATGTGTGATGACACTGAATCCTGTTGAGTTGCATTTTGTGACTCCAAGACAGTTGACCTGACAGACCCTTTTTTTTCCCTGGAAAAAACCCCTTGCTGGCCCCTCCCCCCCCCCCGCCCCACCCCGAAACAAGTGCCCTGCCTAGTGCAGGCGGAGTCCTCATTTCCAACCAGGTTTGCAGTTTGTAAGTGGAAAGTTCTGCAGTTTTCTATGCATCTTCCAAATCCAGGAGTATTTGGGGAGGGTTCTATTTTTCTGACAGCTGTACACCATTGCAAAGCTCATGAATTGCCATAATTTAAGTCCTCATGTCCCTCTCAGAGCTGTGTCAGCTGTTCTGGGGTCATGCAAACAGTCATCTGAATCTGAACTTGTGTAAAGGTTGGAGCTCGGAGGTGGAGCAGGGTGCATTTTCAGAGTCAGATGCACAGCGCTGACCCTCCTGTGTGCTCGGCAGAGTTTGTGAAGAGGCTCCGGTACTGCAACTATCTGGGGAAGTATTTCTGCGAGAGCTGTCACTCATATGCAGAGTCCTGCATCCCAGCACGAATCCTGATGATGTGGGACTTCAGGAAGTACTACGTCAGCAACTTTTCCAAACAGCTGCTCGACAGCATATGGCACCAGCCCATTTTCAATTTGCTTAGCATCAGTCACAGCCTGTACTCGAAAGCCAAGGAACTGGACAAGGTTAAGGTGAGCAGGTACCTCTGCAAGGAGGAAGCACATCCAGCAGGTTAAGTGTCCTGGGGCAAGAAATGCATATCCCTCTGGTTTCAGGGTGTCTAACCTCCCCTCCCTATGGAGATGGAATGATGAAGTGAATGAAGCTTGGTCTTTTGAGACCCAACTCAATTTTATATTTATATTTATACATACTTTGTGTTTTTATTGAAGAGGCTCCCAAAGGTGTGTAATCCTCAGGATCCATAAACCTGTGTCCTGCCAGGACTCTGTGAGTCCCATGGACTCAGCTATTACCCTTATATGGAGGCTGTTTGCGTTAAAGGGTCTTTTATACAGGGTAGTGTTTCCCGGTAGAATAGAATTTAATGTGTGTGTTTCCAGTGTTTTTATCAAAATCAACCCTTCCCATTTGATTTTTGTGTTTTAGGACATCCAGGAGCAGCTGTTCCATATCAAGGAAGCTGTTGAAGACTTGCAGGTTGCCCACAGGTAATGCCGTGGTGGGACAGTCCCCTCCCCTCTACCCTTCATATCTCTCATCCCTGAATCCCCCACCCCGCCAATGTGGTAATTCTTAGCACAGTAATTGAAACCTGTAGCTCCCCTGGGGTTACAACAACCTCTTGAAATGTTACTCAACCTAGGGATGGAAAGAGAAGAGAGAGAGAGAAGAATGAGAATGGGACCAGGGTAAGGCTGAAATGAAACAACTGTAGCCAAATGGCCTTTATAATAACAATTAATAATAATAATAAATTGGATAACATACAACATAATGTAAAATTTTAAGCTATCTAGCCATCTTAAGTGTGTGGTTCAGTGTTGTTTGCTACCCTCACCACATATTGTCCTCAGAACTCTTTTCATCTTGCAAACTGAAACTATACCATTAAGCACTAACTGTCCATTCTCTCTCCCCCAGCCCAGGCAACCACCTTCGCTAATTTTCCTTCTCAAGATTTTGACTACTTAGTACTTCATATAAGTGGTGATCTCATAGTATTTGGCGTTTTTATGACTGGATTTTTCACTTGAAATGTTTCAAGGGTCTATCCATTGTAACATGTGGTAGAATTTCCTTCTTTTTAAAGGCTGTGTCATATTCCATAGTGGTGTGGATACCACATTTGGTTTATCCACCACAAAGGTAAGTTGAGTTGTTTGCCAACCTTTTGTGAACAGTGCTGCTGTGAACATGGTGGATCCTGGCCTGTTAAAATCCCTTACAGAGAGCATGAGGCATGTCATGTGAGGTGAGATCATAGCCTCCAGGAATTTCTCCAAGGCTCCCCCTAGGAATGTTTACAGAGATGTAGTTTTCATAAGAAATAACATTGAAGAATCTACTAGCTGTTCAGTAAACATAATGGTTACTTAAAAATAATACTACATGCATAGTATGAAATGCCTACATAACATAAAATTTTTAGACATGAATTCAAATTTGAGAGAGATATTTAAGTGGAGAAAGAGTAGGTGACTCAAGGAGGGCCTAAGATTATTCTCATAATGTAATGTGATCATAAGGCTTTTTATCTTTTTTGAACTAAATGTCCAGGGGAAGGACCATGTTATAGTGTAGGCCAGTGGGGTCTTGAGCCTACTCGTGGCTGCACAACGGCTATGGCATCAATTAGAGTGCCATGTCCGTGTAGACTGTGGCTGGTTCTGGTAATATAGTGAAGAGCCCTGTCAGTAACGTGAGTTTGGGGCTCAGGAAGGATGAGAGGGGGTTTCAAGAAAGATAATTAAGTTTTGAATCCCTTTGGACATCTAAGTGCCAGGACTCCAGCACTTGGATACATGAGTCTTAAAATGTTGCAGTGTCAGATTCTGGACTTGGATGTCATACACTTTATGTGACAGTATCTGCCTTCGCCAGCTTGAGACAGTGGTCCACACTGGTGGGAATACATTTAGTGGAAATGAATAGGGTAGTCATTTTTTGTTCTTGTAGCAAGCACTGGGGTTTGAATCATGGCCTTCACACTTGCTAGGCAGGTGCTTCTTACTACTTGAGCTCTCCACCAGCCCAATGGAAGGAACACTTTTTTAAATTTGAAAATAGAAGGCCAGGTGTAATAGCGCCTGCCGCTGTAATCCCCAGCACTTGGATTGTGAGTTTCAAAGGCAATTTGGGTTTCATAGTGAGACTCTGTTTGTCAAACAAAAAAAGACTTGAAGATGAAATATTCCATTTCATTTATCAATGTGGACACGGCAAGCCTGCACGAGTTGCCATTTCTGGCTCACTCCAACAACCCAAGTCAGTTTTCTGGAATCTTTAACTTCTTCTGGCTTCCAAGCAAACTTGCAAAATGGAGAGTGGGGAGGAAAGTTTCACTGCTTGTTTCTCAAGGCAATTGATTTTAAAAAAGAGTTTTAAAAAATGAAAGTGTGAGAGTCAAAACATAGGGTGGCCATGTCCTCCCCATCTTGTGTGCCACAAGGGTGGCTTTCTGAATTCCTCTGCTTCCCCTGGCAGCACGTTAAGGCGTTTGAGCAGCTGCCCACACTTGTCGGAGTGAAGCTCTACTGTTCTCCCTGGAGGACTTGTCAGGAAAGAAAGGGCTGCATAGGCAACCCTTGCTCAAAGCATGTTTCTGAAGTGTTTTCCCTCATGCACGTTGCTGACTGCGGGTGTGGGGTCCTGGAGCCAGGCGTTGTGGTCCCGAAGCCATTCTGTGCTGGTTGTGTTCGCAGTAGCTCTCAGGAACCCTGGAGGGAGTGCGGGTGAGCTATTTTACAGAATGGAGCGAACACTCGAGCTTACAGCTGGTGATTAAGGGACCAAGATATGCGCCAACTGACAACTGGCAGAGCTGGGTCATAAGCTCGAGTCCTGCACTTCAAAGTCGGGTTCGCCAGCCCCGCTTAGAGGCCACTCGCGTGCCTTGAAGCAGCCACCTGGGCTCTGGATCTAAGGAATCGGAGGCTAATGCCGAAATAAAATGAAATTCCCTAATTAATTATTTATTTATTTTTTTATTGGTTTTTGGAGAAAGGTCTTGCTATATTGTTTCGTGCCTGCTTTGTTAATTCAGGATCTTTTTGGGTAGCTGGTATTACAGGCATCGTAGCCAATCCTCAGCTTGAAATGCTATTATTTAAGAACATGATGTTGGCTTAGGCATAGTGGCATACCTGTAATCCCAATTATTTATTTGGGAGGCCGAGATCAGGAGGATAAGAAATTTGAGGCCAGCCCTGGCAAAGTTATCAGACACCAAATCTCAAAATAACCTAAAAAAGCAAAAGAAAATAAGGGGAGTGGCTAAAGCATTATAAGAGTGCTGTGCCTTGCAAGCAGGAGGCCCCTGATTCAACCCCAAGACCATACCAAAAAGAAAATATGTTGGAAAGCCAGCTGCCATGAACGCATTGCTACAGTACCAGATGAGGGCAGTGAGATTCTCTTGGCCCAAGTGTTTGGAGCCAGCCTGGGCAGCAAAGCAAGAGCCCATCTCAAATCAACCAATCATTCAATGCAAGGAAAGCCTAGCATGTTTATGCAGCGATCTTTCTACTGGTTGTGTTTTTAACTGCCCTGATGAGAAATAATGCCATGTGTATTTTTGTTATTATTCTGGATCCATTTGTCTAGAGGCTAAAATATAGACATTCAAAATCACTGTAATTTAATTTCTTCATCAAGAGAAGATTGCTAGTTCTAACTATTTTTTTCTTTTTTTTTTTTGTGGTAAACTAGGGTTTGAACTCAGGGCTCATGCTTTAGGGGCAGGTGCTCTACCAGTTGAGCACTCCGCCAACTCTAGTTGGTAATTTCTTGATGTGTTCTTTTTATAGCTTGGTGCAAGGGAATAGGGCTTCATTTGTGAATTTTGTCAGAGTACAGCTTGTCATCTTCCATTTCAGACGCACATACATGCAGAAGATGTTCAGGTATTTTAGTCACTCAGGTAACATAAGCCTCATAATCGCTTAGCTTAATTATAAGGTGAGTTTGGGTTTAATAACTGTAAATTAACTTAAACTGAGAAATAGTTTAATAGCTTCAACACAGGCTCATTCTTTAATACAATGATGCTGTGTGTGCCTTCTGTAGATTGAAGATGATACGGTTTGGGCACATTCCAGCAAGGGGGGAACTTGGGATTTGGGTTTGCAGGATAAAGACACTGTTTCATAGCTAGAGGAAGATGGTCCCATTTCTCCTGTCACACCACTGTTTTGTAATTGGAATCTCAGTCAACCCCAACCGAAATGTTGTCTCTGGCTGACTTTTGTGCCATGATGGCAGAGCTTGAGTAGTTGTTATAGAGACATGTGGTGCCCAAGCCTACTTTGATCTTTATAGAAAAGTTGCTGATCCTTGGTTTCGGGATTAGTAACTAGGCAACGGTGTGCTTCTTTTCCTAAATTCTGTTTCATAGAAAAATTTTGGCAGTGAAATCCTGGCTTTACTTTTGGATGTGGACACCCCAAGCCTGTCTCCCAACCCATAATAAACAGTGTTTCCAGGACAAATTCCCAATACAGAGACAGGAGGAAAGGATTTGCAGGAAGGCAAAGATTGGGCACGTGGGAGAAGTTGAACTGTTGTGTGGTTGGCAGTGAATCTCCAACTCATCTCAATGGGCCTGTTTGGCTTTCAGCATTGTCCCAATGTGTGGACAGAAGGCCAATCCAGGTGTAAAACCCCACAGTAACCAGTTACTCGGTTGCCAAGAAGGGGAATACCTTTGGGTGAGGAACTCTCTCCAATTTACAGGCCATTTCCAGAGAATCAATTCATCTCCTAAGAGCATCAGACAGGAGCTCTCTTCAGAGGCTAGGGAATTTGTGGTCTGGAGCTTAGGCAAATTGGAGGCAAGCTATACTATCAGGCTCACTGAGTGTCATGTCATGGTCATGGTCATGATTTGTTGGGTTAATTTATAATACCTGAGAGTTTTCACCTGGCTGCTTTCTTTTTTGCAAGTACTGTGGGTTCTAGATTCCCGATTCCCTTTCCCTCCCTAAGGATGGGAAAATTAAAGTCCATAACAAGTGACAGTAATGTCAGTACATTTGCTGCATGACTGGTCTCCTTGCTTTGCAGCCTGCAGAGCTTGCTATCACAAACCATGCTTCCAGTCTCTGGGTGTCCCGGTGTGCGAGGATCATTAGTGGAGACGACTTCTGGAAAGTTTGCCTCTGTGGGAACCTGACGCCTTTGAGTAATTGGGAAGGATTGTTCAATAAGTGTTATGAAAATAGCCTTTAGTCTTGTTATTGATAACCTTGTTTTTAGTAGTAAGTATTGTATTTTAGAAAGCAGATGGCCAAACATTCTCTTTCACTGTATCTGGTTTTTAAATGTATTAAATAATACAGAAGTTTGTTACTAAGTATAGGGTTTGTTGGTAAGGGTTTTGTTTACAAATGTGGGATATTTTTGCTTGCTAACTTGTGAATTTTTTATAATGCTTAAATTGCATTGGAATGTTTATGTCTGGCTAATATTAGAACCTATCTTTTTTTTTTAT